TAGATATATAGAGTAACCTTTCTAATGTAAAAAGGGGAGATGTTATGTAATGTTGTTTGTTACTCTATGACACCTACCGATGAGGGTGTCTATGACAAGTAGTAGTCTGGCTGCTGTGTGTCACTTGATTTATTAATATGTAAGTTTACACATGTAATTTAAAATTAGGTTGATTATACTAAATAAAGTATACACTGAGATTTAACAATTGTCTGATTCATTAAACAATAACACAAACACCTTCTGCAGCTCGAACAACCTCAGCTTTTCATTCCATTTCCATTTTGAAAGAACAGTAGCTTGAGTTATGCAACGTGTTGTATCTTATAGCTTTACTTCTTAAATGAATTGTGTTCTAGATTGAAAGTAACTTTATTTGGTTACTCATCGAAAGTAACGAAGGTGTCGAAGTTCATTCTGTAGCTGTTCATTCGTCATTTTTTGCACAATATTTATTAATGACTAAAAAGTTGTATGTATCTTTCCAAATTTTTGAACACATTTCCCGAAATTCTGACCATGGCATATCTGTATTCACATGTTCATCATATACATGTCGTAAATTTATATATTTAACTATATAGAATAATATTATAAGGTTTGCATTGTCTCTTACTAGTTGTTTTGGTATTTTACTATATGTTTGGTTTAAGTAAAAACAATCAATAAATTTATGTCTGCCCATAGCGAAATAATCTCGCATATTAGTTTGATTCTCACAAGCAACATCATCAAAAATTATTACAGAATGGGGCTTAGCATCATGTGGACTGAGAATCAATTCATTATCACTGTATTTTGCAAACGTAACACTAGGTAGCAATTTAAAGACGTTCTCTAAATAAATGTACTTAGTTTGATACAGTGTTTTTGAGTATAAATATACATTCTTAAAATGTAATCCATTTTCATGCAACAGAAGACCTATTATTAATTTTTTTTTCCACAGTTTGATGGACCGCAAACTAAACACCGAACTGAATTAGGAAGCAAGTTTCCATGTCGAGAAATAACTGTCTCAGCATCTGAACAAATTCTATCCAATTGCAACGTTTCAGATTGTTTTATAAACATAGTAGTAAGCAATTCTTTCGGGTGTTCTAGATAAAGTGAGTCAATTTGTACGAATTTGACTATTTATATGAAGTGCGAATAATCAGAAACATTTTATGGATTTTCGTCAAAAAACAACGTAATCAAATGAATGTAATATCTATTTATAATATTGGGCATACTGTCATTCCATGAGTGAGTGGCGGCAAAACGCCGACACGAATGAGAACGAAAATATTACCCTACTACGGAAAATATTACGGCAGATACATTATCTCGAGCGCCTTTACCTGAATTAATGAAAGAAAACGTATGTACTCAAGTTACTCGAGCAATCCTCTTTTTTGTTAGAAAATGTCCAATTTAGTGATTTATTTATTTTATTTTTTATTTTCAATATCTTAGGAAAACTTACAGCTAGGTAATACTATACATAGTTTTTATTATATCTATAAAGAAGGCCAATTACAAGTTTCCACTTATAGGTAATTGAACAATAGACAAAACAGACGACAGCTAAAAGCAACAAAATTAAAATTATAGTAGGATAACATTTAAGATTGTAAGCATTACTTATTTTACTTTATATTTCATTATTTTATGTATATTTATAGCTCCAGATAGAAAAAAAAAAAACCAATTCACTTATCAAAAAATTTGTCTACTAAATGGCCTTTGAGTTTGTTTAATGAAGTATTAAATAAATCGATGTCAACATTTGCCTTGATCAAAGTGTTGAACATTGCGCTAGCTCTCAAAATAAAAGAGTTTTGCCTATAATTGGTACGAACTAAGGGAACATGAAGAAGGTTAGGTTTTCTTAGTGCAGCTGTGTTAACACGGAGACCAATTAATTCCAACAAATCAGGACAGTCAATGATGCCATTTGCTATTTTGTAAAAATAAGTTAGATCTGCTATTTCTCTACGCTCGTACAGAGGGAGTAAATGAAATTTTCGACATCTTGTTAAATAATCAGGTAAGTAAATTTTTGCTCTGAACTGTAGAAACCGTAAAAACCTCCTCTGGATGCCTTCTAATCTCGAAGAGTAAACATCGTAACAAGGATTCCATACTGGCGATGCGTATTCAAGGTGACTGCGTACATATGCACAATATAAAATTTTAAAAGTTTTTATGTTAGAAAATTGAGACGATATCAGTAACACAAAACCAAGGGCCCTAGAAGCCTTTTTAACTATGTTATTTATATGTTCATCAAATAGTAATTTAGAATCGAAAGTTACTCCCAAATCTTTCATATTATTAATTCTTGTTAGAGATATATTATTGAGCATATAGTTATATGTGATAGGTGATGTTTTACGAGTATATGAAGAAACATAGCATTTCGATAAGTTTAATTCCAATTTATTGACATTACAATACTCAAAGAAATTTCTTAAATCGCTCTGTAACTTTAGTGCGTCATTTGAACATTTTATTGGATGTAGAATTTTCATATCATCTGCATACAGGAGTACCTTCGAATAACAAAAACAGGAGGATATGTCGTTTACAAATATATTAAAGAGCAGAGGCCCCAGTAAAGACCCCTGTGGCACACCTGAAGGAATGGTCATTGGTAGTGAGGAATATCCACATAGAACCACTGTCTGGCACCTATTTTGAACATATGATGAAAACCACCGAAACAGATTACCTCTGATACCAGACATTTGAAGCTTCATTAGAAGGACCGAATGGTCTATGCCAGGGGTCGGCAACCTGCGGCTCGCGAGCCACATGCGGCTCTTTGGCTGGGAAGCTGCGGCTCTTTAGTTCCGAACACAAATATCATTTATTTTGTAAAAAAAAATCATTTTAAAACTTTCTGAATCAATTAACAAAGATTCGGCACCACTTCTATCTCTCAGCCACATAGTCTTTGCTTGTACCCGCTTTTCACCCGCTCAGTCTGGACGAGGCTATTGAAGTACAAATTAGTGTTGTAACTTTGTAACTTATATGAATAAATAAATATCATTTTGTCTTATAAATAAACAGATTAAAATTACTTTATTTATGCAAGTACTATTTATTGTGAATGAATCACCATGATTGACCGAAAGTAGTTGATTCCGTGCATCAGGGGGCACGTTAAGCCGTCGGTCCTGCGCCTGATCTCTCACCGGTCGTGTCGGTCAACCGTCCCATCGGATATAGAGAGTGGAAGGAAGAGAGAGTGAACTCTAAGAATGCGAAACCTAGTTGGTCACAATAAGCAAAGTCCTGCGCAGTAAGTCGATGTCAGTGAGAATAGGACTACATTACTTATTTATTGTAGGCATAAAAACATTTTGTGACTCTTTAAAAACTTTAAAATGTTGTAAATTGTAACTTTTGGCTCTTTTGACTCAAAAGGTTGCCGACCCCTGGTCTATGCGATCAAAACATTTGCGGATATCAGTGTATATTACGTCAACTTGAGCAGGTTCAGACATAATCTTAGTTAAATACTCTGAGCAGAGTAGAAGATTAGATGTTGTGGAGCGACCTTTCAAGAAACCATGTTGCTGTGAAGTGAAATCATGCTTTAATGCAGAATAAAGTTGAGAATATATCATCTTTTCGAATATCTTAGCAAAAAGACACAATTTAGAGATGGGACGGTAATTTTCAATGTTGTTTCTGGGGCCACTTTTATGAATAGGTGTAATAAAAACAGATTTCCAAATATTAGGAACGTTGCCTTCGTTGAGTGAGCGACGATAAATGAGAGATAATGGCAGAGTAAGACTACGGGCACATTTTATAATAAAAATTGCTGGAATTTGATCAGGTCCTGCGGATTTATTGAGCTCTAAAGATTTCAACAATTTAAATACTTCACGCTCCAATACTTCAATTATACCTATATCCGTACTTGAAGTTGGGAGCTGTTGGTTCGTAATTTGAATTGGTGTATTATCCGATGTATAACTAAGAAAATTAGAATAGAAAAACTCTCCAAACATATTGCATATCTCTTCACCTTTATCTGATGCGCGATTACCATATAAAAATATTGACGGGTAGGCATTACATTGATTTTTACTTTTGACAAATGACCAAAAGGCTCGCGGATTTTGTCTTATGGAGTTCTCTATGTTTTTCATGTAATCTGTGTACATATTATTTTCCATGATTTGCGCCAGATCTCTTAATATAATAAACGAGTCACGGTCATATTTATTACCATATTTTTTATATTTCTTATGATATTTATATTTCTCTTTTAACAGTTTTATTAAAGGCGATTTATACCATTGCGGATATTTTCGAGAAGGAGTAACAACTTTTGATGTGACATATGTGTTGCGTAAGCTGTAAAGTGTATCGTATAAGAATTCAATAGCCCCCTCTAACGATCTCCTCCCAATCTCTAATTGCCAATCAATGGAATCAAGTTTAGCGCAGATCAACTGGTAATCGCCATTATTATATGCAAATTTTCTATATGAAAGTGATTTAATATTATGTGACTCGACAAAATCCGCAGACACCACCAGCGAGGGGTGGTGAAGGTCTTCCTGCACTAAAGGACTATTGCAACTATTTACGGTGACATTATTATTCGAAAAGACTAAGTCTAGCAAGCGGTTATGACTATAATTAAGTATGGAATTATATTGAATCAGATTACATAAATTGAGGGTATCAATAAAATGTATTTGGTGCGATCCCTGTAAATTACTTGGATTTAAAGACGCATCGTTATCACTAGATGGCCATTCAACTAAAGGCATATTAAAATCACCTAAAATGATAATCTTGTCAAGGGGATTATCTAAATTTATTTTTAATAAATTATCCGAAAAATTCGATAACTGTTGTTCCATTGAATAACCCATATTTTGAGTACATATGTACACTGTGCATATATGCATTTTAAAGGTGCACTTTGGGTTTCGATTGCGAATTGTGATGGTAATCCACAAATCCTCCGCATCAGAAAGCCATTCACTCCTCAACTCTGACACCAATTCCCTACGAACAGCTATTAAAATACCACCCCCCAAAGTCTGTTTTAATTCACTATAGTTCCGGTCACGTCTCCAAACAACATAACGGTCATCAAATAATTCACAATTATGGATACTATCTATTAACCACGATTCCGTAATACATACAACATCGTACGAACACAAACACAAGTTTCTATAAAATGTTGCAGTTTTAGTACGTAGTCCACGTGAATTCTGATAATAAATATTAATCGGCATCATTTTTTCCAATAATACTTAGGTATAGAATAATTTTTAAGCGCATAAAGAACGTTAATTTATGATAAGTACAATATTTAACAGTTAAAAAAATAAAAGAGGCGTTAAAACGATAAGCGCAACAATATAAATAGCAAGTGGCAAGCCGGTATGAACATCTAAGCAACAGTAAGCAAGTAAAAATGAGTCGAATGATAGTTGCAAGCCTGTATGACGTTGAAGCAAAACTAGTTTGTGAGCCAACCCTTGGTAACATTTATAGTATGTTAAAATATTTTTGTTAGTTATTTTAATTTCTATATGATACTCCAATTTAAAATAAGTTTTCAAAGCTTTCTTAAACCTGTTTCCAAATTTATGGCAATAACTGGCGATGTCGGATTCTTGCACAACAAAGATCTTGCATCCTCTCAACCAGGTAAAAGAAAACCCTCGGTCCTTTGCAAGTGTTTTTGTTTTATTTAGCAGCATTTTATTCTCGGCAACTAAATGGTTGTTCACAAAAATCCTATGTAACCCTTGCAATCCAACATCTGTAAGAATTAGAGCACATTTCTTTGCTGATGCGATAAAATCATCCTTTACCGACTATGTATGCCGACTATGTACTGCAACAATAATTGTTTTATGGTTTTTGTTTCCTCGTATGGATACTCTTGTTATATAATTTTATTGTTCCTTAGGAATTACACATTTTATGCTGCTTCCAATCCTTGCAACAACATCGAATAGATTTTCAGAATTCGTTGTTGGGACTCCTTTTATTTCTACGTTGTTCTTGCGCAATCTTTGTTCACCAACTTGAATTAAACCATGCATGTTCAACATCAGTTTTCAATCAATCAATCAATCAAGGATATCAAGACTGTATATCCTTCTCCACTGTGGATATTTTGTCTGATAATGCGCCAATCTTGCAGTCAACAAACTCAATCGTCGATTTGATATCAGATATCTCAGTCTTGATAGTCTTCAAATCAGATAGTTCGGATTTAATGCTTTTGATGCTCTCTTCTAGTCTAGGTAGAACAGCTACTTGAAGCGATAAACGCCGAAGCTTCGCCAGCACTGTATCCAAGTTTGTCGAAATAGGAGACAGTGGAGTTGCGGTTTTAGTAGGAAGTGGTTAACGGACTTTACTTTTGCAAGTAACACACTTCCATACAAAATTTTTATTTTCACCCAATCTGCGGTATACGGTTTCTGTAAGTCCAGCATATCTAAAGTCGAAGTATCCCTGACAAGCAGTACATTGAACGTCACGGAATTCCAGCTCACAAATTTTACACTTAAACATTATAATAATAATAGTTATGACAGAAGTAAAAAATGTTGATAACTACTGATATCAGCTATAACGTTGGTGCGAATTTGTTAGCGTACTTACAGTTCGCCGTCTGCGAACTGACTGACTGTGATAAGAAATTTCAATTATTAAAAGAAGCAACTGGGAAGGATGATGAATGTCAAATTCTTATAGGATATATAACAAACGGGTGGCCAAAAATTAATATGAAATAAACGAGAAAGTGCGTAGGCAATGGTCACACAGAGAATGTTTTGAATTTGTGGGGGATGTAATTTTTAAGGATAATCTAGTTTATATTCAGCGAGCGATCAGACCTGAAATAATACACCGAGTACATGATGGGCATATGAGGGTAGATAGATGCAAACGACATGCGCGTGAGGTTATGTTTTGGCCAGGGATGTCACAGGAAATTGAGCAGGCGGTGCGCCGCTACCGCGCCTGCACCGCACGATCACCGCGACCGGCGCGGCAACCACTACATCCTCATTCTATTCCCAACTTACCTTGGGCGAAAGTAGGCTTGGATATTTTCCAATATAGTAAAAGCTATTATCTTATATTAGTAGATTATTTTTCTAATTTATATATAGAAGTTAATCCGTTAAAAAATATTGACAGCAAATCTGTTATAATAGCCATGAAAGCTCAATTTGCAAGACATGGAGATATTTGCATTTTTGGGAGAAATTTTCAAGATAATACCCCAGGAGTTGGTCACCGATAATGGGCGAGCATGTGCATCCAAAAAAAATTAAGGAATTCAGTACAAAATGGGGTTTTCATCATATAACTACATCCCTAAACTATGCACAATCAAATGGTAGAAGTGAAAAAGCTGTGCATATTATAAAAAATATGTTAATTCAATCATTAACGTCAGGTCACGATTTCTATTTGGGTTTGCTTAACTTTCGAGCTACGCCAAAGAATGGTATTAGTTCACCCTCACAGTTACTTATGGGACGTAGGCTGAATACTAGACTTCTATTGCATGCTGATAAGTTATTGCCTAGTCGGAACAATACTACGGTTTATGATTCCATAGTACACAGGCAGGCCATGACTAAAGAATATTATGTCAGACAAACAAAAAGACTGCCCGATTTACAACCGGGACAGCCGGCGGTGATGGTAGATCAATGTGGTCGAAAGAGAGTACATGTTCAGTCGCGTGCTCCGCAACCGCGCTCGTACTATGTTGTAGATGCTGCGGGGAAGCGATATCGGTGAAATAGACGACATTTAATTAGGGATCATTCGGCTATGCCCCAAAATACGGTAGTTGACACAACTTTTATAGAGAAAACGGTAGATCGAGACGAGGAACAGTGGTCAAGTGCCGAAAGCGATAACAATTACGTTAGTAGATCGACAAAAGGCACTTCTGGGGATGATGATTTGTCATCAGGGGACACGAGTCGCGATAATCAAACCAAACGCAGACTGGCAGCTGTAGAGGCTCGCGTTAGTATTGCTTATAGATTGGCAAATATTTGCAAGATTGTTTGTTTATTTATTATGATTTGATATTGAATTTGGGTAGAGTCGTTCGGGTCGAGTGTGCGCACTTTTACCTTTGGGACCTCATTGTAAATTAGAACAGTGTAATTAGAAAAATAAAAGTAGCATATTGAAATAAACATTTATTAGACTTTAATTTGAAAAACAAACAAAATCTGCAAGTATCTTAGTTTTCATTCAAACAGGTAAAAACAACTGAAAGTCACAATGCGAACACTTGACCCGAATTGTGAGTAAGTGTGCGCATAGCTATGGGGTAAATAGACGCACTTGGGGTAAGTGAACGCATTGGTAAATTTAACCGAAAATAAACTTATTTCACCAAAATTATCTATCTTATTTAGTAAATTCGATGAAAATTAACCAGAGTCAAACATTTCGCCTTCACAGCTTCCAAACATTTTTGATGACTTGTCAAAGCGATTCTCAATTCATTTGCTTACAGTGAATCGCAAACTCTGCCTCTTGACTTTCATTAAAAGTTGGCTTAAACCGACCCATTGAAGATGCAGCTACGTTTAATTTAAGTCTTTTGCGAAGACATGACTCGCTTATACCAATAGCTCCTGCAGCAGCACGTTTACTTTTACCCTGTTCAATAAGGGGTTTTGCTTTAGTGATTTGTTGTTCCGTGACAGGCGCAAGTTCAGGATTTTTTCTAATTTAATTTCGAGGCATGACACTGAACACTAAAACAAATAAGTAAATAAGATTTAAGTAAGTAATAAATTATATAAATTTATTATATTCCCTATATTAAGAATCCGGGGCAAGTGTGCGTATGCGCCCACTTACCCGCGCACACTTTCCCCGAGACCGCAAAATTTAAAATAAGAACGACTGAGTCCAAAGTTATGAATATAACCTCAAATCACGCTTACGAATTTCAACAAAAATGTGCACGTTATTAAAAAAAATGTCTTACCTGGTGTTGCGTTACAATTTTGCGTGGCAGAGTGTTTTCCAAACTACAAAAAAAAAACCAATTAAATGGCCAAAAACAGTTTTTTGTAAATACGTAAACAACAAAGCGTGGTACGGCGCACTGACATATCGCGATTAGTTTGTATCGCCTGTAGCTACGATTGACCGAAACAATCATCCGCCCCCCTCGCCCTGATCATGAGATATGGGCACTGCGCACACTTACCCACTGCGAACAGTTACCCCGAATGACTCTACTATTATACCAAATGTATAATAGTAGATGATAATTGGGTAACTTGGATCAAAAAAAGATCCAGGTTACCCAATCATCATCAGACAGCATTCAAATTATAATCTATTTCATATTTACTAATGAATAATACTACTGAATTATCAAACACAATGATTGATTTTCAATAAATGCTATTTTTTTCATAGGAATGAAATTAAAAAAGTACCTTAACTGTGTTACAGTAGTTATTACCTTTTATGAATGAATATAAAATTTGGATTAGTTTCATTAAGTCTTTAGTTTAAAAGTCAATTCAATAAATTTGCAGAAATAAAACACATAGTTAATTATAAGTCATATTTATTCTTGTATTTTATTTACAAAGTAGATGTAACATTTTCTCTGTACCACTTATCTAATAGGAATACACTTTTTAAAGCGTATATATTATTATGATATATACAGCTTACAATATCTGAAGAAGTTGAATATTTATCATACAAAGTTGCTTAACTTCGACTTTAATATCGACCTTGTTTTGACTTCCATGCCTGCTATTAAGAAACTATTCATACACTAGAATTGTAACGTGTATTATATATTTCTTTTATTATTTTTATTTTTAAGTTAAAACTATAGCCAGTATAAACGCGTTCTCATATATGGAAGTTTCGGTCGCTCGGCTGTGACGCGCGTGCTTGTCTCTCATAGTGCTGCTGTGGCTCGCCTGGAGCGCCTATGTGTGGGAGAAGTGTGTAATGATCTAACAATGCAAGCGGTGCCCTCCTATAAGTAATGGGATACTTAGTATATAACCTCGTCATTATGTAATTTTTATTGTAGTTTTAGTGTACTCATTGTTGTGAGAGCCTGATAAATAAATAAATAAATAAACTTGGATAATTTTGATCTTCTAGATTATGTACATTGTTATTATTAAACATACCTTTGATCCATAAAACTTTTTCATGCCCTTTAGTTAATATACATTTATTGCTTAAAAAATCACTCACATTTTTATTTAAATTATAATAAGGTACAAATCCTTCCTTCCAATAAATATCTCTATTTATTTCTATCCAGGCTACTCGCAAACGTTCTTTCTTCGTTAAATTATAAAATGCATATGGTGGTTTTATTAACAATACAATGAGATGCCTATTGCTAATTGACAGGATTGCTATTTCTTTTGGAATAAACCGGTTTTGATCATCCTTAAATCCTTGGACATCTACAATCACATTCATGATAATTTTCTTAAGATGTTGCTGAGTGGTTTGTATTTAAAAAGCCGATCATTTATTATCAAGCAATAAGCAGTTGTATTTTCTGGTATATTCTGCGAACATTCGATTTCTATTCGAACATCAATGGGTCCACTTTTAATTGAATCGTTTTGTCTTGAACAGTTTATTACAAACAATGGAGCTTTTTCCTTAAATTGAATCAAGTCCAGCAATGGATCAACACCAGCGTTGTAATACGACTGACGAAAGTTAGCATACATTTCATATAATATACTATATTTACTCTCATCAAATTTT